GTGACAATGGCCGCCATTTCCTAGTCTGTTCCTACAAGCTAGTAACTTCATGTTCCTCAGGACAGTTGGGCCTTAATATGCATCCTAGGGAATGCCAGACTAGAATTCAATACTGACCAATGCAGGAGTTGACAAAGAGACCAGCCAGCTCACTAAGACAGCCACCTATCCCCAATAGGACAGATCTGGTTAGGTAATACGCTGTGACCCTATGAAGACTTCCAGTTAGGGGTGCCAACTTGAATAAAATATTTTTTTTGGGGGGGAGGTAAGCCCTGCCCTGCATAATTGATCACAAGATGCGGTGCTCCTACACCATTTGAATGGCAATGCCCATCAACTTTGGGGGGACCCAACTAGGAGTTGGCTCCTATGTTTCCAGGTGACACTTCTTCACTCTCTGATCCCGTGACTGGCTATAGACTGCTCTCTTTGGGCAACTTGATGGGACCTTGCCGCAGTGGGAGAGCTGATAAGCAGAGCTCACTCCAACAGCTCTGGTGCTACAGGCCAGCTCCTTGCCCCTGAATTGTGCCAGCTGTTCATTAGAGGAACAACCGTTCAGAAACCGGTGCCTGAGTTTTGATTGGATGTCCCCTGCCCTGGGAGCCTTTTCGGCTGAAGAGTGGGGCCCAAATGAAACAAACAAATAAATACTCCTACCTCTCTTCCTCTCAATGGACAGAAACCAAACCAGCCTCAAATTACCAGTCTGAAGTATGCTATATGTTATTTCAGAAGCCCCTAACCTTGTCATCTCAAATTTCACATCATCTTCTGTTTCCCCAACTATTGTTCCCATTATTGATTTGGTGAATACATGTGGTGAATGACAGATGAAAGGGAGATGGCTTCCCTTTGCTTGCAAAGCAAAAAGTTCCCTCGCACCATCCAGTCCCTTTGCCTTAGGTGGGCTCATCAGCGCCAAGGAGAGCGGCTCAATTATCTGCATGTCAGATGATTATCTGAGAGCTTAATTTAATCTCCATTACACTCCCCCCTTCATATTTCAATTAAATATGCGATCAGAGTGTTAACACATCTTTGAACCTGCTATTTCTTCAGTTAATTTCCCACTAAGAGTTTGCTGGAGAGAGTAACAGATGTCATAATTATGCAATTATTAAGCATGCTTTATGCTCATTCTCTTGAGCTTTTGTGGCAGGGACCAGGGGATGCTGGAAAATTAATCAAGTGACAGTCAGCTTCGATGAGTTCTATAATGCTGTGCCAATCTTATTTCATGACTCAGGGGTCCTCACATAAAGACACTTGCATTATTAAAATAAAAGTGAATATGTTTATTATAAAGAAAGAAAGAAGGTTGTTAGTTCGGTAAATCTGGTGCCAGCAGGAAACATGACAGAGGAGAGGGATAGGTCTAGAGGGGTGGCTGGGTCTTCATTCCACGTACTTCTGAACTACAGCTCTCATCATTCCTGAGCAATAGCCATATTAGCTGGAGCTGATAGAATTTGGAGTTCAACAATATCAGGAGGGCCACAGGTTCCCCATCCCTCCTTTAGAGTGATCAAGAATCGGTGCTGTCCATGGTTCTAAGTCTCCTTCAGGGTTCTTCAGTGGAAGCAATCTAGCATCTGCTTCCAGCTGCAGGACTTCTGGGATTCAGAGCACCTTGAGCAACTTTTGCACTTTTCCTCCCATGGCGTGATGGCTTTTGGGGAAAGAGTATTGGGTCTTTCCCAGGCCTTTTGTAGCTGGAGGGGCAGCTTTGTTGCTGAACATCTGCAACACTTCCTATTCTCAAGGCAGTGCAAGACAGGAATCTGGAGGAGGCAGGGGACACCTGGCAAGCTTCTTTGCAACATGAAACACAATTGATATGTGGCACTCTTTGTAAAAAGAGCCAGCCAGTGGCCAATGCGGCTCTTCTTTAAAAGAGGGAGAGGAATCATGGAAGGAAGGAGTTGTAGGCTGGGCAATATGAGTCATCCCAAATTATCAATTTTATTTTCTAGTGTAAAATTGAGGGTGAGGATGAAGATGCAGAAGGTCATTTTGCCACATATGCTCTGGGAGTGCAAAACTCCCTAAAAGATTTGCAGAGATACTTGCCATTAGCAGTAGTGACGACTTGGTTTCCTTCCATTTTGTGGGTATGTGTGTTTTTGTGTATAGCCAGAATGGGCAGCAGCAACAACCACAGAGATTGGAGGCCCAGCCACCATGCTGTGTCCCACAATGAGCCCCATACATACCATTGTTATAGGACAGGTGTGGAGAACCTTTGGCCCTATAGATGTTGCTGAACTACAACTTCCATCAGCCCTAGCGAGCATGACCAATCATCAGGGATGAAGAGAATTATAGTTTACCAACATCCCCACACCTTTTTGTGGCATTTGGGTGGGGGTAGAGCAACTATGAAAGCAACAATAGCGAATGGAATGAATATTCAACACAGTGACCATCTTTTTCAGAAGGGGGTCTTTTTTAAAAACAACAACACACTCTCAGACAATTTTGCTGGAAAATACCTGAGAAATTTTGTACAGTCCCTATCAAGCATATATAAGTAACTATATAATATGTAATAAGCAAGAGAAACGGTCCGCAGCCCATGTAATGTTGAGAAGAGATGAATGTGAATAAATGAAAGTTACAACTTTGTTCGTCATTAATTACCTTTCATTTAACTTTCTTTTTCTTTTCATTCATCATTGAATGCCTATTCAGCTGAGTGTGTGTGTGTTTAATGGCAAATATAAATAAATGGCTGAAAATGTATGATTTGGCGACTTTGGGCCTAATGTAAATAAAAACAGTTATGTTAAACACCCTCTAAAAACTGGTTTTATAATAGAAACGTGACCAGGGTTGTTCCTTAACAGCGGCAGGGCTACCAGCAGATGGTATAAGGTACCGTGGTGTTTACATAAGGTTTTTTAAAAAAATAAAAAATATAAAATGTGACAGGGTATGTGCCTATAAAGATGGATACATGTGCCTGAGGTGTGCTGTGTCTCAAAGGGCCAAAGGCAGAGCCCTACAAGGGTGCACTGTAGCTCTTTATAGCCCCTCACGGGAAGTGCTGTTATTTCTTACATAAACACTATATTATAGCACAGTCTGGCAACACAATCCATGTATAAAATTAATTTTACTGTACATAGTTAAGGCTATATTGCCTCCCGTTACAGATGGCCATTTTCAGATCTTTACATAAAGTTTGATAGATAATTTTCATCTAATGCCTCGGATTAGTTCCTGGCTTTGAGAGGGCAAATAATGAAATGACCTTTTCATTTGGGTGGGGGGTAGCCAGCGGAGGAAAGAGGAGGGAAGCCACACATTTATTTCTCTGGCTTGTTATGAAGGTGGACAGGAGCTCAAATGCCTGATGCTGATTTCTTTGGTTCCTTCGCAGAGTCGGACTTTTCTTTATGAGTGCCGCCAGAGAGCTGATGGTGTAGTAATTCGACCTGATGGGAAAGGATTTCATCCTGATGGAAATCCTTATTGGCATGATTAAGGATCAGCTGTGCATAAAAATGTTGAATAATATTTCTGGGTTTTGGGTTTTTTAAAAAAACATTAGTGAAAAGATGCAGAAAAGGATCGAGGCTGCTGTGGATGCGAACCAGTTCAGCGAAAGTGAAAACTATTTTGTAGAGATTCTGCAGTATTTCAGAGAAGGGTCTTTATTTATTTACTTACAGGTGTACTCTCCTCAGTGCAGCCCCATGATCTCAATGATCTTTACTTTTTCTTTAAGATCATATTTGTATGAGGGACAAAGGTCGTGTAATCATTAACTTAAACCAATTAATTAATCCCTTTGCCTACATTGTTGAGATATTTGCTTGTTATTTGTTGTTGCTGCTGTTATTTAGATTTGGATATCCAACCAACCCTTCACCATAAATTCCATAGGGTAGAATATGACAATTAAAACATACAGTATTCAGTTAAGACCATTTACAATCAGAAGGATAGGGAAGGTACTAAAATAGCTCTCTCTCAGCTGGAAAAAAAGGGATGGGGTAAAGAAGTGCGTCTTCAGCATATGACGAAAGCTATACAATGAAGGGGACAGATGCAGAAAGGAATATCATAGAGAATGCCCTGGAAATGTTCACAGAATAGGATGTGGGATGATGTCTACTCTTTGCCTGCCTCTGCTCACTCTGTGAAATCCTCTGAGGCTACACCTGTGCCATACAGTTTAAAGCACCAGATACCAGTTTAAACAGTGATGGCTTTCCCCAAAGACTCATGGGAGTTGTAGTTTGTTAACAGTGCTGAGAGCTGTTAGGAGGCTATTTTTCCTCAACCAGAGCTACAATTCCCAGATCTCCTGGGGGTGAGGACTTGACTGTTGAACCACTGTGGGAACTGTAGCTCTGGGAGGGGAATAGTGGGTCTCCTAACAATTCTCGGCACCCTTAACAAAAGGCACTTCCCAGGATCCTCTGGGGAAAGCCATAGCCTTCAGAGTGGTAGAATGGTGCTTAAAATGTATGGTGCAGATGTGACCAAAAAGAGCCTATCCGTGTACCACCCAGCTCCACTGTGTGCACAATCAGGAGCATTGCCTGTTTAGGGGCCCCAAATAAGAGGACAGGGCCTAGACACATATAATTCTTACAGTTGTTGGCTTTAAGTTCTAGAGGGTCATTGACCAAAATATCTCCAAGGATCTCTCAATGCGCCTATGTCTTCACTGCCATTATCATCAGCTTCTGCTCTCTCCTCTTGCCAGGCAGAGAGCCAATGAGCCTGCAGGCTGTGGCAACTAATGGGAGGTTTAACCATCAATCCTACCTAGGGAATTCTGGGAATTGTAGCTCTCTGAGGGGGATGGGGGCTTCATAACAACTGCCAGCACCCTTAACAAACTACAGCTCCCAGAATTCTTTGGAGAGAAGCTGTGAGTGCTTAAAGTGGTATCATAGTGTTTTACATGTATGGTGTGGATGTGGCCTATGTGTCAATGAGTATAATAAACTTGTAAAATGAGCATAATACACCAGTTAAACACACACACACACACACACACACACACACACACACACACCACTTTGGAGGGGCCTTTATACATATTTAACACTGGCTGAATTTTGTGTTCTCAATATTGTGTGTGTGTGTGTGTGTGTGTGTGTGTGTATATATATCTAAAATAAAATACGCATTGTATTCTCCCTCTTTCTTTCTTTCTTTCTTCTTTTTCTTTTTTGGTAAATATGTTTATGATTCAGTTTAAGAAAAAAATGAAATCACTTCCCTGCTTCCTCTAGCCAAACTGATTTGTTTCCCCCCAATTAATGTCGCATTTTTTTTATGTTTCAGAATTGCAATCGTATAACTATAGTCATAGGCACACTTCAAAGCCAGAGCTTCAGAGTGTCTTACACCAGGTTGCTGGGATGTATTTTCTTGTTAATTTTTAACATATGTACCCTGTAGGCATGATTCACACAAGGGTCTGGAATTCAGAGGAAACGAAGATCAGGCTCGGAAATGTGTAAAGATGTAAGAGCCTCAGCAATTTTCACTTCAAATGTTGTCAGCGAGTTACTATTATAAAATCACTTTTCACACCAGCTCACTGCTAAGGTGAGGGTATGGTGGGGGGTGGGATCCTTATACAGTGTAGTTTTGACAGAGTTACACATTTAATGAACTCCACCACCTAAAGGTATATTTCCTCAAATCTGATAACGGAATCACTTGCATGCAGTCTAGGGATGAAATGTTTAGATGATAGGATTGTTTGGATCAGTGCATACTTCCAGTGTGTTGGAAGAATGTGGACTTAATATCTCACCACTGCCCACAACCTGGAGCTGGATGCTCATTTTGGGGGAGGGGCAATATCTGTGCATGTGAAATTTATTTGAAAGATTTATGCACTACTTATAGTGATGGATGACTCTGCCAATTTCCTTACAAAAACCCATAAGCATTTGAGTATGAATTTCTCCCAATGAACACATTTTGTGTATAGTTTTGACTAATATATAGGGGTGGTTTTTTGCAAGTGATTTCCTCTAATAGAATGCTCTTCTGTATGTTATTTTCACAGATATAGGTAATTTTGTGTGCAATTTTCCCGTATGTGTGCAGTTTTGTACACATTGGTTGGAGAACTAAAATTCAAAATTCATATAAATGTGCATTTCAAATGATAGCTGTGTTTCGGTTCACATAGTGGTTTGAGAAGTGTGAATTAGGTGGTTTCTCATTAAAATGCACACAAAATTGAATTCCTCCCCCATCCCAAGCCACCAATTAACTGAATTTCCCAAGGTAGCTTTCATTGTACATTTTAAGTACAGTAAAACAGCAACAACAGTAAGTCTATGAGCTTCCCTTCCCTAGGCTGCTGCCACAGCTGCCGCTTACAACTTCTGGCTGTTAACAGTGGACACAAGAGACATAGCAGAGAGGTGTTTGCAAGATTCTTCCCAGTCTTCAGAAGTTCCAACTGCCACGCTGATGCTGCATATCGATACACAGGACCAGCCCTATCATGAAGCGCTGTGAGGCAGGTGTCCCAGGCATCAAATGAAGCCTCTCAGCAGGTACCAGTGTTGCCGACCCTTGGTACCAGCCTCAGAACAGAACCAATATGCTTCCCTGTAGATGGGCATTGTGAAGGAAGAGTGAAGTGTGTGAGCAAGTTGACTTCCAGGGCAACTGATCTTCTCACTGAGGGGAATCCCAGCATGAGCTTCTAAGGAACCCCTGGAGTTCCCCGGAACTCAGGTCTAAAATATCACCTTTCACCTGCCTGTTTATGATGATATGCAATCCAGTTACAGTCGGACATCCTGGGTGGGTGTTGGTGTAGTGGTTAAGAGCGGTAGACTCGTAATCTGGTGAACCAGGTTCGCGTCCCCGCTCCTCCACATGCAGCTGCTGGGTGACCTTGGGCTAGTCACACTTCTCTGAAGTCTCTCAGCCTCCCTCACCTCACAGAGTGTTTGTTGTGGGGGAGGAAGGGAAAGGAGAATGTTAGCCGCTTTGAGACTCCTTTGGGTAGTGATAAAGCAGGATATCAAATCCAAACTCTTCTGCTCAGTGTTTTTTCTTAGCATGCAGAAGGTCCTAAGTTCAATCCCTGGCATCTCCAAGTATGGTTGGGAAAGATCCTGGTTCTGAAGTCAGCATAGACCAGGGGTAGTCAAGCTTACTATACCTACCGCCCACTAATGCATCTTTCTTGATGATAAAATTTCCTTACCGCCCACCAGTGCTTGATGGAAGGAGGATTCAGTTTGTGCCGTAGAACCCCTCACCGCCCACCTAGAATCCTGAAATGCCCACTAGTGGGTGGCAGGAACCAGGCTGACAACCCCTGACATAGACAATACTGAGCTAGAAGAACAAATGGTCTGACTCTGAATAAGGAATGTTCTTATCTTCCAGACTCTCTCTCTCTCTCTCTCTCTCTCTCTCTCTCTCTCTCTCCATAGAATTCCCCCTCTTAAGCTAGTCTGCCATTTGACCTACTTCTTCCAGATTCTTAAAAAAAATTCCCACAGAATTTGTATACTACTTAATCATTAAAACATTGAAGCAAATGTGGTGGAGGATTGTCAGTGTTGGATACACTTCTGCCCTGTTGCTTCAGTTCATGTAGTCTTCTTCACCTTCTGAAGGGTATTTTATTCAAAACTCTGAATGAGCTTCCACGCTTTCAGGAGATCTTCCATTAGCCTCCACTGATGAAGCATCAGCCAAGGATTTTGGACTATTAACCAGCATTCTGCCTAAGACGGGACTAGTAACAACAATTATACATACATGAAACTGCTGGCTAAGTAGAATGAATAGCCTGCCAGTCTAGAGACAGGCTGTATATTTACCAACAGTCCTATAGAAATTTGTTTGAGTAAACAGTATGGTGCATTTTCAGACTTTGAAAGTCAATGGATCTGTCGAGAGCTGGTAAAAATTAAATGTAATGAGCTCATTTCAATAAACATTTATGAGACTGGTTTCATGCTGGTAAAATGAGTTCTGCAGGCAGTGTATCTTCACCTGCCTAAAAGAGGGAAAACACACAATCTGTTTCCAACACACACACACACACACACACACACTCTTAAAGATTCCTCTTAGCTAATCCATCTGTAAGTTGCAAAAATGGTAAAGTTTCTGATGAGCTTTGGTAACAACTGCATAACAAAGTTTGCTTCAGATAGGGGTTTTTTTTTTTTGTAAAAAAAGAAACCATTTTGTGCAACCTTCTGAGTCATTGTCATGTTAATAGAACACTCTCATACGCCTATATTTGTAATATTTTAAAGTGTTATGATGTAAATGAGAGGCGTCGCAAAGTCACTGAAATATGTTTTCATCTTTCTCTTTAAGAAAAAATTAAACTGTAGTTAAGATAGTGCTGTTAAGAAGCAGCAAGATGAACAAAGGCTTTTAAGACAAAGGAAATTAATTTGACAATATTAACAATATTTCATACAAGAGTTTTACTTGCTAAACTCTGAACTCTAACAAGGGGAGACAGCCCCCAACATTGAGAAGCAATTAAGAGGGAAGAAAAGCAGCTTGGAATAAATTAGCAATATTAATGCTTAGCATTTGTATTCCTTTGGATACTTAGTTTTATGAATGACAGTGCTGGCTCCAGATTTTGGGGGGCTGTTGGACAAGAGGTGCACTCATGAGGCCCTCCTTGCTTAGTGGCGCCAGCGACTTCCTACTGCCACCACTTTCCATATTCTGGCCCTCTTCTGAATGTGCAGAAAGAGAGGGCAAGGCAAGTGTTGTCACTGCTCACACTCTTGGGAAGGGTAGATGGACAAGGCTGAGACACCAAGGAGGAACAAAATCTGGGGCTTTGGGAGCCTGTGGTGGAACTGTGCTGAGGTGTGGATCTCTATAACTGCTTAACAATGTCAAGTCCTGATAGCAACATAGAATGCAGCCTTATACTGAGTCAGACTATTGGTCCATCTAGAATCAGTTTGATTGACACTGGCTCCAGGATTTCAGGCAGGGGTCCCACATAGCCCAACCTGGAGATGCCAAGGATTAAACCTGGGACCTTCTGCATGTGAAGGAGATGCAACTGACCTACTGACCTTCCTCTAAGAAAGGAAGCTGCCTTGTACCGAGTTAGCCCGTTGGCCCATCCAGTTCATTATTGTCTATGCCAGGGGTTGTCAACCTGGTCCCTACCGCCCATTAGTGGGAGTTTCAGGATTCTAGGTGGGCGGTAGGGGGTTCTACGACACAAGCTGAATCCTCCTTCCATCGAGCACTGGTGGGTGGTAAGGAAATTTTACCATCAAGAAAGATGCATTAGTGGGTGGTAGGTATAAAAAGGTTGACTACCCCTGGTCTATGCTGACTGCTTTATTAATATTCCCTCAATCAGAAGGTCACACCTCAGGTAACACCTTCTTAAACATAGACATCATCAGTAGGCTGCTAAATACCACAACACAAAGTGTTTGTCTAATTTTAGCTGGTAATTGATTCCAGACGTTACAATCCCAAGACCACAGTGGCCAAGGCAGCTCAGTCCAAAAACATGAGAAGAGCCTGCTGGATGGCCCATCAAGGCCAGCATCCTGTTCCCACAGTGGCCAACCAGGTGGCTGTGGTAAACTGGCAAGCAGAACCCAAGCAAAAGAGCACTCTCACCTCCTGTGGTTTCCAGCAACTGTTATTCAGAAGCGAAAGGTAAAGGTAAAGGGAAACGGGTGTTACTGTGGTCTAATCCACTGGGCCTCTTAGGGTTGCCAATCAGAAGGTTGGCAGTTCAAATCCTTGTAACGGGGTGAGCTCCTGTCCATTTGTCTCAGCTCCTCCCAACCTAGCAGTTCAAAAGCATACCAGTGCAAGAAGACAAATAGGTATCACTGTGGCAGAAAGGTAAACAGCATTTCTGTGTGCTCTGGCTTCCATCATGCTGTTCAGTTGCACCAGAAGCAGCTTAGTCATGCTGTGGACAAATGCTGGCTCCCTTGGCTTGAAGCGAGATGAGTGCTGGACCCCATAGTTGCCTTTGACTGCACTTAACCATCCAGGGGTCCTTTACCTTTACCTTTTACCTGCTCAGAATCATTGCAGTTGCCAACTGTGAAGGCAGAGCATAGCCATCAGGGTTAGCAGCCAATGATACTCTTCACACCATGCATAAT